AAATATTTAATAATCCTGCAGCTTATTCGAGACACTAATGTTACTTGTATTTCTCCTGAAGAATTCTGTTGAATAGATTATATTATGATACAGTAGAGAGCTACAGTAGAGATTAATGTTTTTAGTAGTTATTAGTATTGCAGTAGTGCCTAAAGGCCCCACTCAGAATTGGAGCCTAGTCATGTTGGGCACTGTACAAACACATGGAAAGACATGCACAGTCTCTGCTCTGAAGAGTTTACATTCTGATTTAAGACAAAACTTGACAGCTTTGACAAACTAGAGGAACAAGTAAAATAAGTTCACAAAGGTACATTCTCTTGCTGTGTGCACAACCTGAGAGTTCTGAAGCATATAATATGTTGGTTGGTTGGTTTTTTGGTGTTTTTTTTCTTTTGCCTGTGACCTACCAATCATTAGTTGGCTGACTAATTGGCGACAAAAGTGGGTTTTCAGTAAGAGAAGAAAGTGAAATGCAAATTATTCCAAGGAAGGCATTCCATGAATAAAGGGAGGTATGGACATAAACTTTACATAGTTACTTCATAGATAAAGTTCACTACATTGATTACTATATATGCCAGTACCAACGACATGCCAGCAAAAATTTCAGTTACAATTCTTTGTGAATTATTTTATATTATTTAATGGAAATTGACCTGGATAGTGGTATATAGTCAGTTAGTATCATGCCTTTCTTTCTTCTAATTTAGCTTACAGAATATTGGATATTTCATTTTAGTTAGGAAGAGCAAGTTTATGGTGATTTTTCTTAATTTCTCATATGAGCAGTTCCATAATCCAGATATTAACACTCTTGAGAGTTTAACTACTCGGTGAAAATTGTGAATTTCACTCTAAATGTAACATTTGCTAGATAACGATGGGTATATGGAGTGTTGTGCTAAGCAACTTTTTATTGTGAGCCCAGATATAGTCTGGTGCCCCCATGCAGGGAAGTTAGGGGGCAAAAAGCAACCTTTTACTCCCTTGTGCCAACAATCTGCATTGTGACCAGCACTGCGGAGAGGAGATAAGCTTCCCTATGGCTGCTAATTCCTTCTTCCACGTAGGTGGGTGAGGAGTGGATAGGGTTTTGGCACTCCCACCCACACAGTAAGCAAGACAGCACACAAGGGGATCTTTGCTTCTCCCTTCTGGAGTGAAAGAGGGACTAGGAAGCAGATTATGATTGAGTCACAATCTATTTCTGGTCTGATCCTGGGGAAAAGACTTACCCCAGGGCTTGTGGGAAAGCTTGTAATTTATTTTTAAAAAGAGCTCTTTTATTGATTTAAGATAATCTTTTCATAATTATTCTTTTCCCCCAAATATTGAAATCATTTTCCATTCAGTACAATTTTTTCTTGCTTAGGCTTTCAGATGGTCATAGAAGGATTTAAACAACAATTATAGATCAATTATAACAGTATAACAGTTTTAAGAAAAGTCTTGTATCTTTTGGGGAGGCAGGGGGAGACTGATTTTTATGCCCTCAGGAATGGCTACTTCTTCATTTCAGAAATAAATTCTGAAAGTATTTTTGTAAAGCAGTGGTGTGCGTACATTATGAGTAACTTAATATTATTGCTTTCTTTTAGTGGTCTTAGTGTCTTAAAGGCTCTCTCTGTTTATAGTTCTTCTGAGCTGAGAGTAGTGATAAAATTCATAGTTTTTACTGCACATTGTTTATTAAAAAAATCAACCCAATTTGATTAAAATTTTTCATGTTAATAAACGTGTGTGTTCACTTTTATGAACTCTGTAAAGAAAACTAATTTTAAAAAAAATCAGTTATAAAAGGAAATAGAGAAAAATGAATATTTGGAAACAAGCACTTGATAAACTTTGCATTCCTAGAATATTTCCCCTCGTATTATTATTTTCATCTCCTTCCAGTCCTTTAACGTTGAGTGTACCGCAGATGTTCTTGTAGCCATATAGTCTCTTGTACACTTGACATAAACCATTGTCTGTTAAACTAATTGTAGAATATAGAGTAGGAGAAAGTATACTTTTGGTCTCAATGGGCAGTGACTAATGAATGGCAAAGCAAAAACAGAACCAAAAAAGCTATTTCTCTTTCTGATTTTTTCATGTAAATGATTTCAAAAAGGTTTGCCACCCGCTCTTGTTTTAATTTTGCAACATCCATCATAAATTATATTTCAGCTCATATGTAAAAAAAAGAAACATTTAGCTCCCAGAATATTCTGTTTTTTCCTATGTAATTAACACTCCATTCACAGTTGTGTATGTCAATCAAAACCTTGCCTTCTTTCCTTTAACACTTCCTTGATACTTTGTTTAGACTGTTCTAAGTGTCATCCTCAATACACCCTAAATACGTACAAACAGGAACAGGGACATGCTTTAAAGAAGTTGACAGTATGTTGGTCCTAATAACTCAGAGGAGCTATTTAAAAAGATGATCCATTATATAGTTATTTTGTATTTAGGCCATCATATTTCTGTCCACTTCTTTGGGGATACATATGATTACTGTTTTTCAAATAAAGCTGGTAAACTTAAAGCTTATATTTACAGTTGTAAAGTAGAGATAAGCCCAAACAAAATCACAGATCTCTACACCCCTGAACATTCAGGAAATTTGGAACCAGATTGGAACCTAGTCCCTAACCTCACCCTGTAAAGGGTCAAAGGAAAACTTTCAGGTCCAAACACTTTTGAAATTTTAGGAAAGTTTTAGATCTGGACCCAAATCCAAATGCTACTTCTCAGGCCCATCTCTATATATCATTTATCATGTATTTAAATAATCTATTCAGTTATGTGATATTCTAGCAATGTCAATTTGTGACACTCATTCAGAGTCTATAAGGATTTTCATTTTGAAAATTTTTGAACGTTTTCGGAATAATGTTCCTATTTTGCTCCTGCAAAAAAACACATTTGTATGTACACATGCAAAATGGCATGCACAAATCAAATATTTTCTGGCTAAATCAGGTACTTGCAAATAAATTGGATGCATTTGTAAATTGTTAACTTCTATCTTTTTGCATGTATATTTACCCCGTATCCAGGGGCAAAAGTGGGTTTTATGACCACAAATGTGTGTATTTTTGCCATAGCAACTTGACATTAGTTGTCAGCAGTTATTGTGTCTAAAAATGCTACAAATTTAAATTTTACAATCAAGATTTAAGCTTGTAAGTTATTTCATTTTTAGCCTGTTTGTCAAAAACAGAATTACTGCATTTGTTCACTCAGAGCCTGCCCTCTGTCTATTGAAGTCAGTAGAAATACTCCCATTGACTTGGATCAGGCCTTAGTTAGGTATTTGTGTGATTGGCATTTACAGGCACAAATGCATGTTTTATACACAGAGGTAGTAACTGCATAAACAGGGAGCATTTTTGCAAATCAAGTGCTGTATCCCTTCTCACTCCTCACCCTCCAAAAATCGACATAGTCTTTGTAAGAGACAGGAATGCAAGCACTCTAAAAAACTTCTGTTTGGTTAACTTCTTCAATTTCTCCTATGCATCCCCACTGATTTTGAGGCAGCATTTGGCTAAATTATTGCAGGTGTATGTACAGAATGCAAGGAAAGGCATTGGTGGCCTTAGTTTTTGAACTCCTGTGAATTAAATAATAATTCTGAGCCTTTTTTTGCCTTCATATATGTCTGCAGTAACCTTGCTAAAGTCACTGAAAGGTGGATGTATATCAGAAAGCAGCATATGGTTCTTTGTGTTTCAGAATAAAAAGTTACCAATAATAAGAACATATCATAGACTAATTGGGTTTTGTATAAAAAATAGGTGAAATATTGAGGTTAGCTAGTGTCTATTGCAAATAAAAAAAAAATCACTGTTAAGTTTTGGTATTATGGATAAATATTATTGAAATTCATACTGGTCTTAATACTCATTCACAGCTTACACTGCAATGGTTCAGCTCATAAATGTGTACTGAGAAAAATGCTTGAAACACAGCTAAACTCTTTCCATATAAAGGATCAGTACAAAATCTACACTATTGCCATTCCACATTCATAGCATAAATCTTAATGGTTCTAAAGGAGTTTAGAATAACACATCAAAGTGAGATTAATCTTAATGGGTCATTGACATGATTTCAGTTTCAACCACAACACTCTTAGCTTGTTAGTAACATAGGACTATGGGGGAAGAAACCCCAAGGAATCAAACCTCAAAAATAGCTCTAATTAAATGTTATCAGTTTGACTTAAATCAACAAAGGTTTTCCTCTCAATCAGCCATCAAGAAACCTTTGATTATAAGTTAAGTAATGGTGTGTTAGCCTAACAATTCAAGACCATATGTGAAATACATAAACTTTGAAATGATACCAGTAGACGTATGACTGCTCAAAGATTTTAGTCCACTCTCTTCCGGTCTTGGATTCCTGTATAACTGCTTAGCTCTTGAAATTGAGGTTTAGCTGTTTGTGAATCTGAGTAGGTGACAAATGACTTAAGTAATGGAGATCAATAAGTAAGACACACATATTTCAGTTCACTAGTGACACAGCTGAAAATCAGCTTTGAGAAATAGGGTGCTGGGCATATGTTAAATTGGTTATGTTCAACCTGTACCATTATTATATGGCTTATGGTGACAGATGCATTATAGTTTTACATCCCAGACCATTGAACGATCAAATAAAATGTAATTTATTTGGACATTGTCAAGATGATGGGTTTGTTGTATGTTACTTCCCTATCAATATGCTTTCACTCTTGAAACCTAGCTGGAAAAATGTGCCAGTAAAAATTATTGTGATGCAAATACATTGTTTCCCATAGTTATTAAGAACTTTTCTAAGGCAATAAGTTCTTATCAATGCTGCAATAAATGGTAAAAAGTATTTCCACTTTGGATAGCTTTTGATCTTTTTGTTAATAAACAGTACAAACAATCTTGCTTTTACAGATTATTTTATTCCAAATCAATCCTCAGATGTAATATTTATGAATGTCTGGGGTTGTTTTTTTTTTTTGTTGTTTCCAGGGAAGGCGAGGTAAACCGGGACTCCCTGGTAAACCAGGATCACCAGGACCTCCGGTGAGTAACCAGCAAGGAAAGTGGGAAATTCTCACTTCAGTCAAGAACTGCTGTATACTTTGTTAGCATTTTTGTAGCAGCTTACCTGAGGACAGCTTTAAATGAACACAATGGATCTTTGTTCTCTCTGCAATATCAGGCAGTTACAACTCCCAACCTTTTGATAGAACAAAGGTAAAGAATTGGATCTCAAATAAGAGAGGCTACAAAGCTCAGTGCAGTAGGGAAAAAACAAGCTCCCACACTGCTGTCTAACAGTTCAGAGAGGGGCTGGCTGAAAATGCTAACTATGGATATTGTGCATTCATTCAGTTTACCAAATGTATGATGCTGTATTTAAGATCTGATCATTTCTTTCTCAGAGGGATAATTTGAAAGATGAAGGACTGTGTGATGAGCTTGCCAACTGAATGGTGTAGAGGATTATACCCAATACTGGATTGAGCACTCAACTGTAGATCAAATGAGTTTACAGAAGAATTAAAAAGATTAAGAAATACAAAACTATATGAAAGGATTTATAATATGCAGCACTAAAGGTTTTAGCTCACATCTGAGAGTTTGGGTTTTATTAGAGATACATGATTTGGAATTTGAGCTCAGGCTTGGATTTGGCTTGCTTCAGGGCTTCTCTGGGCAGTAACGAATGTGATCTTTGAGAGAATAAGATTTGATAAGAGTTGTGACATTATATACTATTTACTATATTGTAAAAATGCTATCACACACAAACGCATGAAAGGTGTTAAGAGCTAGATGTGTAGTTCTTAATAAGGTAAACTTATATTCAACGAGTTGAAAGGTTCTTTTCTTAAAGTGTATTCGTCTTGTGAAATTCACTGTTTGCAAGCAGTTCTTCAACTGTTTCACTCTGTGGATCACTCTATAAAATATAAATCCACCATTGGACGACTGCCTCTTGCCCTACTGTACAGTTTTCATAATGTTCCATTTTGTGACTCATCAGGAAGGACTCTGTGAACAAAAGGTTACATCTGAGCCATAGTCTGAGAATCCCTGGTCTATACTAATGGTTAGGATTAAACAAAAGTGTTGTTGTTATCATCAAATTTTTGTGCTGGTTGAACATTAGTAATATTCCCAGTTTCAAACCACATTTTGACAGTTTTCAGCCTTCACTGGAATAAGTGATATCCATCAATCCATATTTCAGAATCCTTCTTTCTAGAAATGATGTTGCTGGATATAGTGAAGGGAAGCTGTCAGTGGTAGGTGAGTAAATTGGAATAGATGGTTCCTGCACTTATCTAAGAAGAAACAAAAGATCACACATTCTGTCACTGCCAATTTCTTTAATTTTTTCTAACAAAATATTTTCAGAAAGAAAAAACAGATGATGGTATTCATTCATTGTGTGTAAAAATAAGTAGATATTAATTCATCTTCATACAGCCATACTGAAGCCTCACTTGGAGTCCAGTGTACAGTTTGTGGTTCCTTGTGTTAGAGACATCGTACACTGGAGGGAATCCAAACAAGGATAATGGAACGATAAAGCAGTGATGTAGAACCTTATTGAACACAAATGCCAAACATGATCTGTTTAAAAATCAAGATAACAGGTGTCAATCTTAGGCCTTGTCTGTCCACGTTTTTTGTATCCGTATAACATGTTAGGTAGGGTTATCTTGTTTTACATATCTAGTTATCGTAGTACAATCTCTAATGTGGACTTAGTTGTACTGGTATAGTTTATTCCTCTTCCATATGGGAATAACAGTATCAATATAAACACATGTACACCAATATAACTGGATCCACAATAAGATGATTGTACCACTTTAACTATACTGGTACAACTAATTCCACATTAGAGATTGTACTAAAATATCTAAAGAGGTACTACTTTTGTGAATAAACAAGGCTATAGGGTGCTTTTTTAATTCCTTCTTTCTTTTCCAGTCTGTCGCTCCTTCCCTTTTTTGCTTCTGTCATTTCTCTTCCCATTCAATCTATCTCAGTCTGCTATTTTGCTCTTCCATTGGCCCTTCCTATGCTGGACATTAAATGGAGGTAGCTGCTTCATTCACATGGACACATTGGCTGCCCCTACTTTTGGCCTTGCCTCTGCACAGTCCAGGGCACAGCACAGTTAGCATACATGCCCATAGGTTTGCTATCAGAAGATTAGCAGCTATGATTTATGAAGAGCTTAAGGGAGCTGAGCATGTAAAGCCTGGACTCTACAGGAAAAATGAGAAGAGAGAGATAAGATCACCACCCATAAGTACTTCAGAAAGAATTAGATAAAAGTGAGTATTTAAAGTGGCTAAAACACAGATTGGGTATATGAAATTAATATAGGAGCATTTAAATTTGGTAGTAAGAAAACATTTTCAACTGTTAAAATGTTAAAAGGGCAAAAACTTCAATAAGGAGAGTTCTGAGCCAGCAACACTGAAGACTAGACTCGATAAAATCTTTAGGGGGGTTGGTGTAGAAGACACTCCTAAAAGTACAGGGCAATAGGCTAGCGGGACCAAATTCAAGTGATGTGTACAGACTATAAATTGTACACTGGTAAGCGATGTGAGTGTTAGACAGTCTAAATGAGTGTTATTTGTATATCTGATGAGCCAGAAGAAGGTGTAAATTATGCCAGTTTATACTCTCTTTACACCCTCTTGTGAATCTAGCCTGATGATTCCTAGCTCTCTTATATGTGGCTCACTAATTTGTTCAACACCTAAATTCTGTGTTATTATTTTTATAAAATCTATATTTGTAGTGAGTTCATATCCCTTACAGCCTACTATACAGTCTTGATTAAGAACTATGTCAATACCAGAAAGGCAAATCATTACATTTTTAGCTGGAGTATTCAATAAAGAGACATTTTCTGCTCATCCCCTTTCAGGTGTCTTTTTTTTTTTGCTTCATGTATTCTCTGGGGTAAATCTAGCCTCCATTAAAGTCAATGAGAATTTCTATTAATGGGTTATAAAAGAAGATTTCTGTCATCTTATCTCCCCCAGATGATATTCTGTTTTCCCCTTTGAGTATTTTTAAAGGGGTTATTAAACAGTGTGTAGTTGTAAAATGTATTATTCACTCCTGGTGCAGAAGTCTTGATTTTGGTCCTTGCTCCCTGATATTGTTTTTGAGTATTGTTCCATTATTTCAGTATTAGACAGTTGAGCTGTGTGCTCATACTTGTCACACTTCAATGCATAACAATTTATGCTGAAAACAGTAAAGCCAAGAAGCTGCTTAAATAGAACAGCAGCTCCCTCTAGTGTTTATTTGTTAATTTCCCCCCTTTTAAATGATTGAGAATTATATAAAGCTCTACAGTTAAATACAGTATGCCTTTGTTACTTGAGAAGTTTCCAAATAGTATGACTCTGAAGCCAAAAACCATTCACCTTTCACATGCATTTCATATTTTTTTCTTGCTTGCTTAACAAACATTTTTGTTGAAAGGAAGGCCATCTCTCACTAACTGTGTTCTCCCTCTGCTTCAGTCTTCGTTGAATTCAAAATGCTCAATTTGTGATACTAAAGTTGGCATTATCATAGCAAAACCCTGTGAATTGTAAATCATAAACACAGGATTATAACTTCATTGCAGAATTAAGCTGATAAAACCTTTCTCCTGCAGTACCTGCTTCACCTGCTAACAGAAATATCTGCAGGAATCAGCAACACAAAAGGAGATGCTGGCAAAGTATATTTCTTTGTGTAAAATTATTCTTTTTTTCAGTCTTGTTCCAGCAAGAAATTTCTCTTGAATACTTGAAGTAGTTTTGAGGGAAAGTGTAGAGGGAACTGAGTTCTGTATTTATATATGCTGTCAGCCTAATCCTGCATTGGCCCAACCCTGCAGTCCTTAGATAAACTCCTTTTAATTTCAATTAATGTTTCATCTGCCTAAAGGATTGCAGGATCATAGTGTATGTATTTGCACATATTGTTTAATTCTAACATATTTTTTCAGGCTTCAGAAATAAAAATATCCTGGTATCTATATTCTATGGATCTCAGGGCCATTGTGAGGGTTAGATTGTTAATGTTTGCAAAACCCTTTGCAGATGAAACACAAATGTGTTTGTGGCAGAAATGTGCTATGATGACAATATTTGCAGGAGAAACTGACCTATCATATTTGACTCATGGCAATAATTATCACTTTAGCTAATCATAACCACAGAATGACAATATATGTTTAAAAATCTGTTAAGAATTGTAAAGTGGAAACACCCTCATTTAATAATATGCATTGCCACATGTCCTGCTTGGGTCATAGTTCCAGACTATACAGCTGCTAGGGACATTGTTGACATTCCAGTGTCACCTTGTGGGTCATTGGAATACTGAAAGACATCCTTACAGAACACATCAGGCAGCTAGTGAAATCCATCTAATGATCAAAAAGCTTTACACTGGTTTCATTTTCTGGCAATGCCCTCTTTTTCCCCCCTCTTATAGAAGATCCTAGACATTTCTTGATTTGTCTTGTTACGTAGGTTGAAGCAGAGAATAAAGAGGTTTCACCTGCTTTCTCATTCTGAATTGCCTTCTATGGTACCAATTCTGCAGTCTTCGCTGGGACTACTCGCAAGAGTAAATGCTACTCAATGATGCAAAACTAGGCTCTGTGTTTTCTCTTAATACCACTCTGACACCTATGGCTTTAATTTGTTCAGTATACCTGTCTGTTATTGGGGAAACCAGATTGTTTCAAAGCTAACAACATCACACTCTCAGGAATTAATCTCACCCTTGATATGAAGCATGCAAGCTTGTCTCTCTCTCTATATATAGTAGTTCTGCATGTTTACTTCTGTTGCCCCTCACACTGTAGATTCACCCACCCCATATCAACTATTAATCTGTTACTCAGATAGCCCCAATACCATAGTAACTGAGCACCTCAGCCAGGGAAGTACAGTTAGCTCCATTTTTTGGCTAGGGAATTGAGGCACAGAGGGTATGTCTACACTGTAATAAAATACCCACAGATGGCCCATGTCAGCTGA